TCACCTGGCACAAACGGCCAGGTTAGTTGCGAAATTCCCGCGGTTTTGTGTATCGATACCGCGAATTTGTTTGCGTTCGCTCTTACAAATCTAGCCGCTCTTTATGCGAGCATTTAATTTGTGCAATGCTGCGGCTAATCATATAAAGCGAACACGAATGAAATTTACAAGCTTGCAACGAATAATAGCAGTTAAATCGCATTCTTTCATTTTTTCCTCACTTGCATATTTAACACGCGGCGGAATAGTTTCGTAACAAAAGAAAACTGATTAAGGTTCATTACGCGGTAATTGCAAGCAGCGCTTGGCGGACGGTATTATGAGTTTTAATTATGAAAAGAGGGAAATCCGGTAATGTTGAAGAAACCTTTTCTTTTCTATCCTTCTTTACGTCTCTCAATCCTTTTTTTTTTTCTCTTATTTATCGTCATAAACTGAAATTCTAAACGTAGGTATACAAACGGTATAAATCAAAGAAGCGGAAACAAATAATAGAACCGACTGAAACAAGCACATGGAAGATTCAAAGGAAGATATAAAAGAAAAAGAGATGACATAATGTCTCAAAGAATTGTTTTGAAATTCTTATCGTTACAAACACATCGCAATAAAATCTCGAATAGGATCGTGGATAGAGATTCTAAAAAGTAGACCCGATCACGCGATGGCTGCCTTAACGACGATGTTCTCTCATTTATCAAGAATGGAAGTTGTCTCGCTTCTTGCGTCTATCCGTCACTCGTTAACCGGACGATCGTTACTATCGTAAAAGTCGGCTAGGCGAGGAAGAAAAAGAATGTAAAAAAAAGAAAAGAGAAGAGAGATCGGGTTCGAGGTAGAAGACGTAGTTTTGGAAAAATAATAGCGCCCAGATCGCTCCGAGAGTGGCGATCGTCCAAGGTATAATAATTTCGAGGAACCTACTCTTTCTCCTACGCCCTTCGCAAGCCTCCTCCGCTACTTCGCCCTACGTTCGTGTCTGCGTTGCTTCTCTCGTCTCCGGAGTATACATCTTTTCTTTGTTACGTTTACGAGCCTCGTCGGATCCGGAGTAAAACCGCGCCGCTCCGCTCCTCTCCTCTCCTCATCCCTCCCCGCTGCACGCGGCACGCCGGTGAAATAAATCCGTGTATTCCGGGGGGTCTTAAATTCAACCGGAAATAGAATTTGTCCCGGGGCGGTCACGGGCGCCGGCGGTGATGCGAGGAAAGTCCGACGAAACGCTAGAAACAAGAAGAGCGAAAACGAGAGCCTGCCGAGTCGCCGAAAGGTGAAGAACAAGAAGAGGAGAAAGAAGATGAGCGAGGACTCGCACGTGGCTCTACGCGAGATTATTTTAATGCTCTCTCTAAATAGCGAAAAAATGCTGGATGAGAGATAAAAAGAATTTTTTTTCGTAGGAAATGAAAATATAGATTTTCATTGTCACTGATTAGAAATAAAATTATAATGATGCGTTAATCATCATTCTTGCGCAAGTCTTGAAAATCCGATTTCTTTTCTTTTATTATTTATTTTTTGTATGAAAATTATTGACGAAATGAAAAATTCCTGCTGGAATGCGGTGTCTTAGAATTAAAAGTTAGATCAAGCATTAGATCAACCGTTAGATCAAGCGTAGAATTCCATAAGATTGAGTGGCATGAATTAAGTGATAGGCTTCCGTTATGTGTGATATATCTTTACCTTCCTTGTAACATCGTAACAATCAAAGTGCCATTCATCATGTTTCGAAGATACCGACAGACTTTCCTTCGGATAACAAACTTGTTCGAAATAAACTCCGTGAAACAGCAACGACGGGAAGCATCTTAATCTGGATAAAAACGTCCAAGCTAAGCTGCATTGGCGAAAGTTTCCCGAGGGGGTTGGGTGCGAAGAGTGGTTGGAAGGTTCGTGGCGAATGGGGGTGGAAACACGAACGCGACGTCACGAGACTGGAGGGGAAAGAAGGAGGTTTTTCACCTTGAAAGAAAGCAAGTGCACTCGAAGATATTCCCGCAAGCCGAAGAGAGGCATTGTACATAGTATATATGTATCAGAGGCGCACTCTCGGTTGTGCCTCCCCCTCTTCCCCTTTTTGTGGGTTTGCGTCGATCCAACGGGCAAGTGTCGCGACTTGACTCGACGTGAAGCTCGTTGAAGGAGACGCAGCATCGCACAGAGGCAAGGCTTAAAATTTTCACGAGCCACTCGAGTCGGAAGGCTTCCACTGCCTCCCGAAATTTGCAATTTGGCATACCTACCTGGGTAGTGAGTATACGGAAAGAGGTCTGGTCCGGAAGAGGACGCGAGGCAAGATGAAGAGAGACAAAGAGGAAGAAAGAGAGGCCTTCGCTCATTGAAGGAGGTGGCCAACCACCTACCTAGTGAACGATCCACGGGAGAGACAGAATGAATTCCCCGTCGTGTTTACGTCTACTTTTTGTAGGAAGGAAAAAGTAACCGGTAACGAGACGCGCGGGAATCGAACGAGGAGAAAAAAAATAGGAAATAGCTGCATCTCAAAGGTACTCGCCTACAGGCAGTCATCCTTTCTTTTTTCCTCTTCCATTGCCACTTCAATCTTTCTTTTTTTCGTGCTTTCTCTCGAAACGAGCAGGGTTGTTTTCGGCAATTCTCTAACGGATCTTATAAAAAAAAATGAAAGAAAAGGCTGAATGAAAAGAAGCACTACGGATGTCTGTCGTTCCGAAGAGGAAGTCGTTTTCAAGTTGGAAGTAGCGGAATAGAAAGGACTTTGGAGGAGACTCGAAGAGCGCTGTACTCGGGTAGAAGAAGGACATCTTAAATTTTCGACGAGATCACTTGGGCAATGGCAACTGCAGAAAACGAGTGGTACCAGCGGTAGCTGGTTGGTAGCCGAGCTAGGAGGCGCTGTCCACCAAGCTGAGCTGAGCTGAGCGGAGCCGAGTAGCAGCAGCGGCGGCGGCGGCGGCATTTCACTGAAGTCTGCAATTTTGCGGATGCATCTTGGCTGACCTGACTAGAGTCGAAGAGAAGGGGAAGAAGTGAGAGAAGGTCTTTGCCCGCTTTAGAAGAACTAAAGCGTACCTACCGCCGCTCTCTTTCTCTCTCTAACTCTCTCGTTCTGTCTCTCCTCTGTCATCCTCCCTCCTCACTTCTTTCTTCTTCCTATCTTTCTTTTATACACTCGTTTGACATGCACTCGCTCTCTTTCACCCCTTTATATTTCGGCACTCTAGAATTGCGTTCCTACTTCGATCTTCGCGCCCGCGCTTCCTTGCACGCGGCACCCTCTGTCTTTCCTCCTCTGTCTTGTTTCTCTCGTTTTGTCGAAGAATGGCGAGACGCCGGCCAGACCCTAGGGCCTACCAAAGCGAAAGCAAAAGACGCAGTTGGTCGAAAAGGGATGGTCGATGCTTCGCGCGCCCTCTCTCTCTCTCTCTCTCTTTCCCTTTCTGTTTCTCTCTTCCTGTCGTGTTGCGTTCTCTACGAGCGTGAGAGAAGGACGGAGATCGAAGATGGAGGAAGCGAGAGGGAGATGGATAAACGCATGGTATTGATCCTGGAACCCCTTGCTCTCCCGTCTCGCCTTATCCCGGCACCCTTCCACTATCATGATGAACCCCAAAGTTTTGTACGGGGCTTTCGTCCCTTTTCCTATTTCTTTCCCCTCGCTGTTTTCGTACTCTCTCCTTACTAGCACTATTTTCTTTTCCACGATAATTGGCCGTTAGAGAATAATGAATTCCGGTCGGTATCACTGAAACCCTTCACAAATGTGAGTTGACCTTGAACTCGAGATATGTCATCCGGTTTACTTTCTTTCTTTTATACATATGTGACACATTTTTCTCACCAGTTTGTTAGACTTAGGCTGCAGACTGATTTACGCTCACAACGCTCGTGAGTATCATTTGTCCTTGTTTAATATTTGATAAATAACAAAGATGAAATGATTCTTAAACATCGTGAACGTGAATCGGATTTATAGATAAGTAATCAAAGCATTTTTAGGAGAACAATGCGGAATGACTGGAATGATGTGCGACTCATTTCTTAGACTTTTTTATACCTTAATATTTAGTACTATTTAATGTTATTTTATGTTACACGGATTATCATATATTTTCTATATATGATGTCGAGAATTACAATGCATTATTTGACTTGTCAATATATTTAAAAAAAAAATGAAAATATTTTGCATTAGACCAGCAACATCGTAGATAAAGCAATACCTTCTTCAACGAGAATTACGAAAATGATATGCTTTGAAAGATGTCATTAGAAGATTATTAAAAAAAACAAACCAACTGGTTTTGCCTTTTTATTCATACGAGATAGAAACGATGTTGCTTGTCTACATATACGATGTCCTTGAAAGCAAAGGAAGATACAAATAATACGCAAATAGAAAAAATAATACTTCTATATTTTAATTAACATGAATTGTCTTAATTTTTTTCAGATGCAGCAATCAGTAAGATCCAGTGGAGCCGTAAAACATCGTATCACCATGTAAAACAAACAAAAAATATCAATCTCCGTTTACTATTAAAAGAAGCCATGCACTATAGACGAAGCAAAACGATAGTTCTGTGATATAAACTATTGGGCAATATTATACACTCATAACGTTATCACGCAGTCTCCTTTTTGAGGCAAGAAATATCGAAGAAATATCGGTGATTGCCATTGCTGTGTGACAGCCCGTTGGAAGAATTCTAAAGATAAATAAGAGCGGCCGTCGGAGCGATAAGCTGGAGCATAAGCGGGCAGGGAAAGTAGTGGCCGGTGAGGAAGGCGGAGGTGGTGGTGCCGACGAAGAGGGTGGAGGAATCCGACGGTGGCAATCAGTGGCTGCCGTGACGCGCAAGACGACGCGACGCAAAGCGCAAGGGGAGGTATGAGGAGGCGAGAGTGACGACGCTGGCCGGTGTGCTGCAGCATCCTCTCGCACGGATCGTGAG